TGGACTTCCTGAATGGATATATTCTCATCTGTTATCATACCAGGAAACTTCTCTTCCAACAAATCATTGACAATTTCTCTGTGATTTTGTTTGTCTCTTCCTGTCCTGGAATTCCAGTGACATGTAGGTTATTCTTTTTGATGGTATCCCACATGAACCTTAGGCTTTCTTCATTTTGTTTTGATCTTTTTTCTGATTGATCTCCTTCCAAAGAAATGTTAAGATATTTGCCTTCAATCTCCCTAATTCTGTCTTCCATTAATTCAGTTCTGCTGCTTTGCCCATTCAATGTCTTATCTATTTCTGAAAATTTAGCATTAATCTTCTGGATTTCTGTGTGTAGTTTTGTATCATTTCTAATTTTTCATTTATTTTGTCATTTTGTTCTTGTATTGTCTTTCGAAGTTGTTTTAGGGTTTTCTCTGTGTTTTCCTTAATTTTGGCAGTGTTTTCCTTGATCTCTCAATTTGTTGAAGATACACAAATATAATTCTTTTGAATTCCTTATCAGGGTGTTCCAATGCTGCGTCTTCCTCAGGGATGTGTTTTGGGTCTGTATCCTGGTCCCTTGTTTCTCCTGCTTTATCTTGCTTCTTTGTGTGGACTGTGATGCTCTGTTGTCTCCAAGGCATTGTGACATTTTTGTGTTTATAATTAATTGTTGATTTGTATGTTGGAGTGACTTGCCCACGATTTTAATTTTCTTTGTATGTTATCTACGCAAGCAGAGTACTGTGCTGTGCTCCTCTATTTACTAGTTGACAGCACTTATCTGCTCACCACCCGTCTCTTTTCCTGTTGTCAGCCTCTCATGTGTCCCTGTCGACCTTGGCAAACAGAGCCTGTTCTTAGGTCCCTGGAATCTGAATGAGAATGCTGTTACTTTAAAATCCAAATGATTGCTACTTGTAAAGATTCATAATGGCTGTGTCCTCGGTCACTTTAAATATCCAAAATGGCCACTGCTTGTAAACATTCAGAATGACTGTGCCCTTGGTCATTTTAAATATCCAAAATGGCTGCCTCTTGTAAACATTCAAAATGGCTGCACCTTCAGTCACTTTAAATATCCAAAATGGCTGCCATGTGTAAACAATCAAAATGGCTGCACCCTCTGGATAGCAGAAAGTCAACAGCTCAGGTTGTCTCCCTCCTTGCTGTTTCCCTTCCTAGTCATAGGCCACATTGTCCCTGTAGCTCTTGGTGACCAGGGCTAACCTTTAGGTCAATTCTCAGGTCCCAACATCACTTGGAAATATTCAGACTGTTGGTCCCATTACGGTACCTGACAGTCCACAGCTCCGATCATCTCTGTACTCACCATTTTCGTTCAGGTTTCTCCACTAGTTGGTGCCTAATGCACTTCTGTTTAGTTCCTTTCAAAGCTCAGGGCTCCAGGATTATCTTCTGTATCTCTGTCAGTTGGTTTTTACTGGAGTCATTGGTTTTTCTTTTCTTTATTTAGGAGGGTCTGTGTCTCTTGTCTGCCTATTCCTTCATCTTACCGGAAGTCAGTAGTGCATTTCTTTAGTGATGTTACCCAGACTATTTTGTGAAGAATGTTTTCCTTGTGTTTGGTCACTTAAGTTTCTGAACCTGTTTTATCTGATATTAAAATAGCCATGTCTGTTTTTGTTTGGTCTTTATTTATATCACACATATTTTCCTCACCTGTTTACTTTCAATTTTATGTATCCTTATGTTTTAGATGTGTTTGTTGTAAGCAGTGCCTACTTAGATTCTGTTTGCTAATCCACTCTGGCAATCTTTGTCCTTAATTGGAGCATGTGGATCATTTACATTTAAAATAATTACTGGTAAGTCCTTAGGTTTAAATTTACCTTCTTAGTTTGTGCTTTCTATTTGTTTCATCTGTTCCAATTATGTTTCTTTTCTTTCTTGCCTACTTTTGGTTTGAATATTTTTTCATTCCGTTTTTTCTCACATTCAGTTTGGAAATGAAACATTCTTTTACTCTTTTTTCATTGGTTACTTCAGACATTAAAATATGCCTCCTGTTGTGGATTGAATTGTGTTCTCCAAAATAAGTGTTTAATTCCTGGACCTTGTACCTGTGGATTTGACACTGTTTGGAAGCAGTGTTTCCTTTTGTTATGTAAATGAGGCCATACCAGTGTAGGGTGTATCCTAAATCTAATCATTTGAGTTATAAAAAGACCAATAAG